AGCAGGAATTGGTAGAATATCTAGAAACTTGCAAAAACCATACAGTTTGTTCTTCTCGGGAGTCCCTTGGTTCCCTCCTGTTCTCCAGGATGGTGCAGGGAGATGTCCATGGGATGTGACCTCCACGGACAAGGCACTTGCAGAAGCCCATCGGAGCAGAAAGTGGTGTCAAAGGTGCTGTGGGCTTTTCTGGCTTTGGGTGCAGAGCGGTGTGGGACACGGTCACTGCGCCTGTGTGGATGCTGGTGGACATGGGCAGGGATGTGGGCTGGCTCTGGCTCTGCCTCCTGCTCTCAGGCTCGCTCCTGGCTTCCTCCGGGTGTCGGTAAGGGCTCGGTAATGGGGCTGTCGCGTGTCAGGCGAGCTGAAGCTCAAGCGTCTGGCTGATTGTAAATTCATCTGCATCGGCTACATATGCATCCTGGTCTTCACTCTAAAAGAAAAGCTGATGAAAGAGGCAGGAACACAGTCTCAGTAGGGAAGAGGCTTTTAGAGGGGAAAAATTGTTTGAAAAATAGCAAAGAGCGAGGAGGGGAAAGAAGTCTGCTGGGAAAGGAGCATAACTGCATTACTTCCTTGGAGGTCTGGGAAATACATTATGCAGAGCTCCAAACAATGTTTGCCAGCAGCAAGTCTGCTTAGATGTGTCCATGGGGGTTTCCTTGTGTTTTTTTCTTTTCTTTTTTCTTTAATAGCCAAACTCTTTCTTTCCTGGGGCCCAGGGTGATCTGTGACTCCTGAGTTTGCATTAGGAACTCGCTTGACCACACACTAATGATGTGCTCTGGGCTGTGCGTGCAGTTAGTGTGCGGGGAGAAGGTCCACCTGGCACGATGCAGCCCATCCCTGGGAGAGGAGTGGGTTTGGCCAGGGAAGGGCTCAGCTGGGTCACCAGCGCTGGAGCAGCCTTCAGCTGCTGTTTTCGGATCAGCTGGAGCTGAGCGGATCTCTCAGGCTGGACATCCCTCCCTTGGCACTGGAGCCAGGCAGGCATGGCCTCTCGGGATGGGGACGCTGCCTGGTGACTGCCAAGGAGCAGCATCGGCCCCTTCCCCTTTGCACTCATGTGACTCTTGCTGGGTTTGCAGGAGCTGTGCTGGGTCATTGGGGGTCTCTGAACCCTTCATAGGGCCTGAGAAGACCACAGTGGGGTTTGGCTTGAGCGTGTTGGCTGTAGGTGCTCTCTTGGCCATATTCTCCCCAAGCGCTGTGCTCTGCTCCATGTTCCCCCACCCAGGACTCCTGCTGGGTGCCTGCTTGCACCTGGGCATTTTAAGTCACCGTCCCATTTATTTTGATTTCTTCCCTGTTGCCATGGGCCTCTGGTTTGTGGCACAGGACTGGTCTGCCCTTAGGAACGTCTGATTCTTGGCCCCAGCTCTGCCACTGAAGCCTACGGCTCCTCCAAAAGGTGACTTCACCTCTCTCTGCTCTGGTTTCACCAAAGATGAGATGGGTCATGTCCTGCTGGCACATGCCACCACTGGAGGCCATGAGGATGTAGGAGTGGCGGAGGTGTCCCTTTGCTTCCTGGGCTCTGGCATTGACCTTCCTGCCCCTTCCCTGTGTGCTTCCAGCAAGGGCTCATTTCAAACAGGCTCCTTAATGCATGAGCACCCCGAAGGTGTTCCTGTACCCTGGTCTCCCCTGCAACCTCCAGGTTTCCTTTTTCAAGGCAACATCTGCTCACCTGTCCTGCATGGGCATGTGTCCCCACCACCTCCAGAGCCACCGAGGGGACCTTGCAGACAGTGGAGGTTTCCCAAGGAGAGCTTTCCTCTAGCTGGCTTGGGAACCCCCAGCAGTAGAAACAGCTTCAGGGAGGACTGAGGAGCAAGGGAGGATCACGGCCAGGCGCCCTCATCGCTGTCTGCAGTTGGGCTGCAGCCCTCGGATGCAGAGCAACGTGGCACCGGAGGTCGTGCTGTCAGCAGGAGCATTTAGCAGGGAGGGATTTCCCGAGGGGCTGATTGTTGACGTTACGCAATCTCTGCAGCTTTCCTCTGCTGAGACTTTTGTTGTAGAGATTTTCTGACATTTTTGCCCTCTGGAACAAGCAGCATCTCTTCAGTGTTGTGTGAGCCCCTGGAGAATTAGCAGAGCCTTTTTTAATCCCAACTGATGGATGCAAGATGCAGTCCTGGCTTGCTCACGCCAGCAGGCTGGTGCTCAGCGCAGGAGGGAGCGTGGGCAGGAATAATCACCTGTGGCCATTTCCATGTCGTGCAGTCCCTGGATGGTGGGTGACAGCTTGGATAGGGCTGGAGGAGGTTTCACACCGTGGTCTCTCCCCAGCTTGATTTGTGCATCGTGGACAGGCTGGCCCTGCAGCCAGCATCGCCCGTGCTCTCATCCCGGCTTTGCCAAGGACGCGTGTAGCTTTGGGCAAGTTCCTGCAGTCCTCTGTGGCCAAGCATCTGTGCAGAGATAAAAGCCCTCTCCCACTTCACTGGGCTTTGCGGGGGTTTGCAAGCGATAGCGGGGTGCTTTGAAAGGGAAACGTTTTAAGTGTTTGTCTGCAAACCGCCTCCGAGGTGAACGCGTGCTGTCGTGCTTTTAAGAAAATGTCTTTATTTGTCCTGCCTGAAAGGAATTGAATCCCCCTCTGCGCCTAGTCTTTGAATGCTCCCTCTCTGCCGGGGGATTGCAGCAGCCCCCCACCTCGCTAGCAGTGTGCAAATCCCCTTTTTTCTGCTGTATTTTTCAGGCTCCGACCGCTAGACATTGAGTTCATGAAACGCCTGAGCAAAGTGGTCAACATCGTCCCCGTGATTGCAAAAGCCGACACGTTAACACTGGAGGAGAGGGACTACTTCAAGCAAAGGGTAAGGGACTGGCGGCTCTTATCCGGGCTCCCATCTCTTGTCCCCCATTGCCTCCTGCCCCAGCCCCCAGCCGGGCTGGGAAGGCGAGCGCCTGGCTGGGAGCCCAGCGCATTCCTCCGGCTGCAGCTCTGAGCGATCCCACGTGGCCGGAGGAAAGGCCTGCGCTCCAAGCAGTTCCTTGTGTTTCTCTTGGATCTTTTTCAGTGCAGGTTAAGTTTCGAGCTCTAAGTCCTGGGGCCTGTTTCTCCTGCCTCCTTTGTTATTGTTGTTGTTATTTTCAGGCTGGTTTCTGTTATTTTGGGAGGTAGATGGTGCTGCACATAGAGGCTGGAAAAACCTGTCCTGTGCAGCATCATGCACTGATACAGGCAAAAAAATGTGTGGGTTTGCTGAGCTCAGCTGGGCAAGATTTATGGGGGAAGCAAGGCATGAAATTCCCTTGGTTGGGATCTGGCAGTGGGGAGCCGAAGAGCGGCTGTTGGAATCCACAGCGCAGCATGGGCTTTCCTCCGTGCACACGCGCCTGGTGCTGCTGAGAGGTGGAGATGCCCTGCTTTGGTGTTTGGTAACGGGCTATAAATCTGTTTGTGTAGCTGAGGGACGTGGCTGCAGGAGTGATGGCCTCAGCATTCCCTGCAGAAGTAAGGAAGCTGCCAAGCTCCTTGGTCCGTGAGTCTGAATTGCAGGGAAATGAAGCAAAGGGAAAGGGGGGTTTGCCAAAAGGGCAGTTTTAGTGACCACCTCCACTGATTATGGAGAGGATGGCACATAAGCCAGGGGTTGTTCGATGCCTCCGTGCAGAAGAGGATGAGCCACCCCTTCCCACACCAATGTCTTCCCAGTTTTTGATGAGCAGGATCAGGCACTGAAATACCCAGTCTGGTTTGGGGGCTGAATCCAAACTCCACAATCAGTTCCCTTTGCGGTGAGCTAGAGGATGGCTGGAAATGGAGCTGAGAAGTAATCTGGGCTGGGCTTGATCAGCGTGTAAGCCTATTTGCACAGAGATCCACGAGGAGCTGGTGCGGGCAGACAGGGGGGTGAGTCCACGATGCTCCGTCCTCTCTGCAGTGGCTTTTGCAGGCTCCGTTCAGAGGTTATGAGTGCACATATCTGGGTGTCTGCGGCTGGCTGGCTGGCTCTGGGACTACAAAGTCAGTCTGGGACCTAAAATGTCACCTAGGTACTCTCAGCTGCTGATACCATCCTTGTGTAAGGAAAGACCATGGGGACACCGCCTGGCTTGCCCACTCTGCACTGGCTTGGTGCACGATGAGCTCGCCCTATCTCTAATTACATTCCTGATTGTAACCAGACCCCCAAAATCCTTCCAGATGGAGGGAGAACACATAGCCACGTGGCATGTTTGCAGTGCCCCTTAGGCTCACGGCTCCAGATCTGCTGGTGCAAACAAGAGGGCAGTCCAGGTAGGCTCAGGCTGGGACCTTTTCCCTTGGCTCCAGCCTGCCTGCACATGTGCTTCCAAAAAGCAGAGCCCTCTCTGCATTTGGGGGTGTAGGTGGTTTGGAGAGGTAATAGGTTTTTGGGTTTGGATCGGGGTGGGCAGGTGATGGTGAAGCACCAGCCTGGCTGCAGGCTGCCTAGGTTGATGCTAGCGCTGCAGTGAGCGGAATGGGCTCCGATGCCCTGTGGAGTTGGCTTTGTTGGGTTGTTCCCCTAAAAACAGTGTAAGGGTTTGGCTGGGGGGTTAAAGGCCAGTTGGGGGATTACTCTGGGCTGGATCCACTTCCTTTGCCAGCCTGCAGCATAGAGCTGACACAGAGTTTATTGCCATAGGAAGCGATGGGAGCAGGCGTGCAGGCCAGGTTTGGGTGTGCAGCTTTGTTGGAGAAGGCTGATCCTCCACGCTCCCCGTGAGCTGGGCCTCCACCCAGGAATCAGATTGCAGCATCTCTTCCCCTTGCACATAGGCAATACCCTGAGAGGCCACTCTTCCAAGCTGTCTGCATCCCTGTCCCTTCGGATCAGGCACTGCCATGACTTCTTTTCCAAGGAGCATAAGCAGACAGCAGAAAGCAACTTCTTAACTTTGGGTTACGTGCCTGGCAGCTACATTCCCCATTGCAGCTTGTATTGTCTTATTGTCTTTTTCAATCCCAAAGCAACGCCCAGCTCATATAACCATCTCACTCTCAGCCTGAACCATGTTTTGGCACTAGGTTCTCGCAGAGATTCCAGGGCAAGCGCTTGGTGGGTGTGTAGAAGTTAAACACAGGTCTCTCTCTCCCAGGTGGGCAGCGTTTAGGATTGAGAGGGAAGATGTTGCTGCTATGTGTTGCTCACGAGAGCCTCTTGGGTTGGCTGGTGG